CGCACTAGTCAATATTGCACTTAATCGCTTAATCACAGCGAGCACCGCACTGCACAATATCGCACTTAGTCACTCTGAGCACCGCACAGGACGTATAACGTCACAATCGTCACACAGGGGGAATTATATACAGGGATTACGCCACTTCACCACCCCTGTCAAACATACTTAACAAGGGGACGGATCCCGCTGGGGATGCCAATTATGTTACGGCCCTCTCGGGACGCAACGGGGTTCTCACTCTGATGTTGTTAGAGGAAGATATAGGTATCCGTTCCCAAGCCAGTAGTGGCTATCAAGGGATGAGATCCGTGACGCAAGTAACTTAAAAGGGAGTAGGGAAAGAAAGTTAAGAACTTAATATAATATAATGTTCACCATCACCATTTAAATATATAAAAGTAAAACGTACACAAGGGGGAGGGGTATTAACACTTTACAAAGGGGATCAACACTGTAGTCTTCTGCTGGAGACTATGGATCCTCGAAGCTAGGTGCCGAGTCCGCGGTGCTTTCTTCGTGGCCTCAAGACGTGTCCTCTGAGAACGCCGAGCCTACCCTGGCCACAGGTCAGCCACAACACAGGTCCACTGGGGGCACCGTCGTGGAGGCCGTCAACCACACGTCCAGCAGGTCTGCTGGCAGGTACTGAGCCACCAAGGCTGGTACGGCCACTCCACGAACGATAAAAGGGGTACGCCCTAGACAGGAGTCTCGTGTGATATCACCAATCACCCTCCTGTCCTCAATACCCCAGTGGATTATCGTCTCCAACCGTCGGTCCCGGGTAAATCCTTCCACTGCCACTCCACTGGCAGGCTTAACACACCACAGTGTTCTTCCGGGGGGACGACGTCACGACAGCTGCAGCAAACTTCACAGTATGGAGACTGGCTGCCTCGGGTAGACTGACTTCACCTTCAACACAGTGGTCCCAGGTCGGCTCTGTAAGCAGACACGTCATCAATAACAGGGACACTAAAACACCACACTTACAGGCTCAGACACAAACGCCCGACATATCCACTCCATAGACGGCGTTGTAGTCTGAGCACCACCTCACCAGAGGTCAGCGGCGGCGGCGTTGAGCGCTGAACGGGGCTGGAAACTGGCCCTCGTAGCTAGTACACGTCGTCGGTTTGGAGGGGGTTTCGGGAGCTGACCCACAGATGGCGCGGCCGTCACTGTTTAGAGATTGGACGCTGGATCAGGGTCCGTAACAGGTACCCTCCAGTGGCACCCTTCTGTGGTACCCTCCAGTGGCACCCTTCAGTGATACCCTTCAGTGGCACCCTCCTGTGGCACTCTTCAGTGGCACACTCCAGTGACACCCCTCCAGTGACACCTTCCAGTGGTACTCTTCAGTGGCACCCTTCAGTGGCACCCTCCAGTGACGCCCCTCAGTGGCACCCTCCAGTGGCACCCTCCTGTGGTACCCTCCAGTGGCACCCTTCTGTGGTACCCTCCAGTGGCACCCTTCAGTGATACCCTTCAGTGGCACCCTCCTGTGGCACTCTTCAGTGGCACACTCCAGTGACACCCTCCAGTGACACCTTCCAGTGGTACTCTTCAGTGGCACCCTTCAGTGGCACCCTCCAGTGACGCCCTTCAGTGGCACCCTCCAGTGGCACCCTCCTGTGGTACCCTCCAGTGGCACCCTTCTGTTTTACCCTCCAGTGGCACCCTTCAGTGATACCCTTCAGTGGCACCCTCCTGTGGCACTCTTCAGTGGCACACTCCAGTGACACCCTCCAGTGACACCCTCCAGTGGTACTCTTCAGTGGCACCCTTCAGTGGCACCCTCCAGTGACGCTCTTCAGTGGCACCCTCCTGTGGTACCCTCCAGTGGCACCCTCCTGTGGTACCCTCCAGTGGCACTCTCCAGTGGCAGCATCCTGTGGTACTCTCCAGAGGCATCCTCCAGTGGCACCCTTCAGTGGCACCCTCCTGTGGTACCCTCCAGTGGCACCCACCAGTGGCACCCTCCAGTGGTACCCTCCAGTAGCACCCTCCTGTGGTACCCTCCAGTGGCTCCCTCCAGTGGTACCCTCCTGTGGTATCCTCCTATGGTACCCTCCTGTGGTACCCTCCAGTGGCACCCTCCAGTAGCACCCTCCAGTGGCACCCTTCAGTGGAATCCTCCTGTGGTACCCACCAGTGGCACCCTCCAGTGGCACCCCTCAGTGGTATCCTCCAGTGGCACCCTCCAGTGGCACCCTCCAGTGGCACCCTCCTGTGGTTCCCTCCCATGGCACCCTCCTGTGGTACCCTCCAGTGGCACCCTCCTTTGGCACCCTCCAGTGGCACCCTTCAGTGGCACCTCTCAGTGGTATCCTCCAGTGGCACCCTCCAGTGGCACCCTCCTGTGGTACCCTCCAGTGGCACCCTTCACTGGCACCCTTCAGTGGTATCCTTCAGTGACACCCTCCGGTGGCACCCTTCAGTGGCACCCTTCTGTGGCACCCTTCAGTGGTATCCTTCAGTGACACCATCCAGTGGCACCTTTGAGAGGCACCCTCCAGTGGCACCCTTCAGTGGCACCCTTCAGTGGTATCCTTCAGTGACACCCTCCAGTGGCACCCTCCTGTGGTACCCTCCAGTGGTACCCTTCATTGGCACCCTCCAGTGGCACCCTCCTGTGGTACCCTTCATTGGCACCCTCCAGTGGCATCCTCCAGTGGCACCCTCCAGTGGCACCCTTCAGTGGCACTCTTCAGTGGCACCCTTCAGTGGCACCCTCCAGAGGCATCCTCCAGTGGCACCCTTCAGTTGCACCCTCCTGTGGTACTCTTCAGTGGCACCCTCCAGTGACATCCTCCAGTGGCACCCTCCAGTGGCATCCTCCAGTGGCACCTTCCAGTGGTACCCTACAGTGGCACCCTTCAGTGGCACCCTCCTGTGGTACCCTGCAGTGGCACCCTTCAGTGGCACCCTTCAGTGGTATCCTTCAGTGACTCCCTCCAGTGGCACCCTCGTGTGGTACCCTCCAGTGGTACCCTTCAGTGGCCCCCTCCAGTGGCACCCTCCTGTGGTACCCTTCAGTGGCACCCTCCAGTGGCACCCTTCAGAGGCACTTTTGATTGGCACCTCCAGTGGCACCCTCCAGTGGCACTCTTCAGTGGCACCCTTCAGTGGCACCCTCCAGAGGCATCCTCCAGTGGCATCCTCCACTGGCACCCTTGAGTGGCACCCTCCAGTGGCACCCTCCTGTGGTACTCTTCAGTGGCACCCTCCAGTGACATCCTCCAGTGGCACCCTCCAGTGGCATCCTCCAGTGGCACCCTCCAGTGGTACCCTCCAGTGGCACCTTTCAGTGGCACCCTCCTTTGGTACCCTTCAGTGGCACCCTCCAGTGGCACCCTTCAGAGGCACCTTTGATTGGCACCTCCAGTGGCACCCTTCAGCGGCACCCTCCAGTGGCACCCTCCTGTGGTACTCTTCAGTGGCACCCTCCAGTGACATCCTCTAGTGGCACCCTCCAGTGGCATCCTCCAGTGGCACCCTCCTGTGGTACCCTCCAGTGGCACCCCTCCAGTGGCACCCTCCAATGGCACCCTTTAGTGGCACCCTTCAGTGGCACCATCCAGTGGTACTTTTTAGTGGTACCCTTCAGTGGCACCCTCCAGTGGTACCCTCCAGTGGCACCCTTCAGTGGCACCTTTCCAGTGGCACCCTCCAGTGGCACCCTTCAGTGACACCTTCTAGTGGCACCCTCCAGTGGCACCCCTCAGTGACACCCTTCAGTGGCACCCTTCAGTTACATCCTACAGTGACACCCTTCACTGGTACCCTCCAGTGGCCCCCATCCAGTGGCACCCTCCAGTGGCCCCCATCCAGTGGCACCCTCCAGTGGCCCCCATCCAGTGGCACCCTCCAGTGGCCCCCATCCAGTGGCACCCTCCAGTGGCCCCCATCCAGTGGCACCCTCCAGTGGCCCCCATCCAGTGGCACCCTCCAGTGGCCCCCATTCAGTGGCACCCTTCAGTGGCCCCCATCCAGTGGCACCCTCCAGTTCTACCTATTTTCCATGAAGGTCCACGATGTCACATTTTGGGTTACTATTTCTTTCTGTGAAGGTTGGCGACCACATGCTTCTGGGCCACTTGTTATTCCAGTGACTTGGGTGGCTGCACGCATCCATCTCCTTATATGTTTTGGATCACTTAGGAATTACGTCTGATCTTTTTTGGGGGAGTTACTTAGTGGCTGCACACATCAGACTCCTAATATTTTCCAATGACTTGGAGACTACAAGCTTCTGTCTCCTAATACTTTTCTATAAACATTTCTATAAACCATTCAGGCAAACTTCAGATATAAGTGCTGATAGTAACACAAGGGGTGACCAAACTAAATCTTGTTTTAGCTTCATACAAAAAAATATCCCAGCTTCACTGTCATGTATCCATGCACTTATGTGGGCATTTACCACATATTTCAGTAAATGCTTTTTTTGTATTATTAGATTAAAATAATTGTAACCTACCTTCTTAACAATATCTACAGAGAGTTCTACTTTCTAAAACATAAGATACTTATGACTGAAAAAGTCAGTAGGAGCCATCAGGAGGACTCGAACCTGCACACTGGGTACTCCTAAAGTGGTCTAAGGTGGATGCTTGTAAGTACCCAGTTTTCTGGTTCAAATCCTCCTCATGGATCCTTCTGATTTTCTAATTGATGTGACATTTTATAATTTTTTCGACACGCTAATGTGATTTCCTTGTGCATATCTTTTGCTATTAAAATTCTCTAATAATCAGATTCCATGCATAAAATATTTGGAATTTAACCATTTGTTTGTTATTACTAAGACTTCAGTATACAAAATTGTATCATTATCTGAATCCTAAATTGATTACTTGTAATCTTTTTTAAATTGTCTTGTAAACTGTAAAAATCTTCAAACTTTTAATTTGTGTATCTGCCCAGAAATATTAGTTATTAATTTTTTTTCCATTATCCATGTGTTATTCTATTTTAAATTTAAAGTACATTAGTTTCTAATCTTCATCCAACTTAAGAGACGTTAACTGGACAAACAAGTTCACTGTGGTTTGTGTGTGACCTCACACACACACACTGAGCTGCTGTCCTGGATTCCTGGGTCCAGTCCTCTCATCCTTCTTAACCTCCTGACCATGTCACCTCTACTCCCGACTGGCGATGTACTTGCGGTAATGTCTTCTACAGAAATATGGTCATGTGTCCTTTCTGTAATCCTACTGTTCTGGGAACTGGAGAGGTAATGTGGATGTTATGATGTTTGTGAATGATGATGTTTTCGCTATATATGACGAAGATTTCAAGAATGTAGACAGGTATTTAGAGGGTCTCAATAGCCATGAGCATTCCGTGCAGTTTACTATCGAAAAAGAAGTTATTAAAGAAGTACACATTTTGGATTGCATGGTAGGTAGAAACAAAGATCAGTTTACGTACCCAACGTACAGGAAAAAGACACATACAAACTCATATATACATTTTTTCTCATATTCTAATTCAGCTAAGCAAAGTCTTTGTCTAAATCCGGCCTTTATCTAAGAGCTTATAAGATTTGTCATCCGTCTTACTTAGAAGCTGAACTTAAATACTTATGTAAAGTTTTTTTTTTCATTTAGGTTATCCCTCGTGGTTCATTGAAAAACCGCACAGTAAAGCTAAATCGTCCTTTACACTTAAACTGAAAGACGCCCTTGGAATCCTGATTAGAAAATAATTTTGAAATTGCCTTATAACCTTCTAAGTAAATTGCCCAGTAATGTAACAGATACAAAACATAAAATCGTTTTAAATTACCCAAATACAATTAGGGAAAGGATTAGTAAGAATAGAGTAGAAGAGGATAGTAATCCAGGAGACGTGTTATATATTACCTTGTAGAGATTGTAATGACGTCTATGTGGGGGGAAACAGGACGAAAACTGGAGATCAGAAATGAGGAACATAAGAAAGCATGTAGAATTAAGGCTGGTAACAGTGCTGTAGTAAACCATAGTTGGGAAAAGGATCACAATGTTGATTTTAAGATATGTAAAATAATCTATAATGTAATAACATTAGAACTAGAAGGGTAGTGGAAGGGGTTCTAATAAATACTCTGAATACTTTCACTAGCAACAAAAGCTTTACTTCTGCAGATTGCTTTACTAGGAAAATTATTCTGAATGAATTAAAATTAATCTCAATAAATGGATGACTGACAGCACTCTCATTAGCCACGTTCCTTGGGGTATGGAGAGGGTTACGAGTGACAGCATCCAGATGAACACCTCTATTAATAATAACTCCAGTTCCATGAATAGCAGGATTATAGAAAGGACACATGACCATATTTCCGTAGAAGACATTACCCCAGGTACATCGGCAGTCGGTAATAGTGGTGACCTGGTCAAGAGGACATGAAGGATAAAAGGATTGGTCCCAGCATAACAGCCTCATTAGACGTTGAGATGTAAGTCTTATCCTAATCACCCACTCAGATCTTGACAAAGCCCTCAGGAGAGTGCAAAAGTCTTGGTGTAAATTCCTTTCATAAATTACACAAATTCACAAGTGTGGGTTTCTATATTATGTTTATTTGTTATATTTTATCATGGATGTGTATAATTTACTCATATATCTGCTAATTTTTATTCACATTATGTATCTGCTCAATAATATTAGTCTATCTGTTTGTTGTTCTCATATTTTTCTTTGTAACATTTCCATATTATTAATTACATCTAAATTTTAAGTACATTGTAACCAACTTCATTTATGTGAATACTAATATTATAGATTAGTATACAATTTCCCAGACGTTTGGTTACACCTTGCCTCATATGGTATATAACTTTACTCATCCTTAACTGGTCATCTCCACCCTGGCTACATGCAAACTGACGTTGACCCTAAACTAAGTCTACTATCACACATTTTTAATAACCAGAACATTCATAATCATTACTGAAGTTACTACACAGTCAACCATGCAAAAAACAAACATCAAAGTAACACTAGCCTATCAGTTTATAACCAAAATGTTTGATAAGTTAACAAACATTTTGATGACATAAATCTGCTACTAGAAGTTCAACATAATAACCTCTTGTTTATTATCTTAATGGAAACATGTAACAATTCGAGAAGTCACCATTATAACGATGATGAAATGTCATCACTGTAACCTTTGCCACAAACACAGCTGCTATCTTTGTAACATTTATGGCAATTAAGTACTGCTGTTATTATACAACTATGGTAACAATCACTTTAATGGTTGCTATAACTTGTAACCCTTTAGGCTGTAATAATTGCATTGATATAATCCAAAGAACTGGAAGAGTTCGCCCCACACAGCAGAAAATGTCCATACTGGTATGAGGGGAAGAAATGATAAAGATGTTAAAAATATCTTTACAATTCTTACAGACCAGATGGAAGATAAGGTTACTCATAAAACAAATAATGCCGCCACCACTCCTCCTGGAACTTTAATAATTAGGCTAATTGACTAAGGAGGAAACCAGTCAACTAATACCGAGTGCTAGGGAACTTTGATCTTTTAATACTTACTGGAGGAATGGAATTCCTTCTGCATTTACTTCAGTAAATTACATTTACTTTCAGTAAATTAATAAATTATAAATATATACTCATAAAAATACTTGTAAGTTCACAGGTAATGTCCAAAATAATTCAAGATTTTGACTCAGAAATAATTAAGGGAAAATATATAACATACAAAGAAGAATAATTAACAGTAACTTTATTTAATAATGAAAATTAATTAACCCTAAACTAGTGACATCCTATTCTTCAGAGTCACGGTACTGAACTACAAATTGTACTGGGAACTAAAGCATACAAATACCTTTATCATTGCTTCTGCACATGCGATGTTGTAGCCTGGTAGATCAACATCCCCCCTACCCCCACCCCACCAGCACTAATTCAATTCACAATAAAATCTTTTTGTCTCATATGCTTCAAGGAAGTTGAGGCTACACCCACTAAGGCTCATCCTGCCGTAGAAACTCTGCTCTTCTCTAGACCTATATCCAATCAGCTAAAACCAGGCCTAAGGTCCTGGCAGCCAATGACAAGTCATGCCTGGCCCTTATTCAATGAGCAGCTATACAACTCCAAGAAGACAGGGTTTTCTCACTGGAACTACTGACATAATATACCTTATTATATAATATACCCACCCGATGACTGTGACAGGAACATGTGCCCAGACCCGAGGATTGTGAGTGGAACATGTGCCTGGACCCAAGGACTGTGAGGGGAACATGTGCCTGGACCCGAGGACTTTGAGGGAAACATGTGCCTGGACCCGAGGACTGTGAGTGGAACATGTGCCCGGACCCGAAGACTGTGAGGGGAGCATGTGCCCGGACCCAAGGACTGTGAAGTGAACATGTGTCCGGACCCGAGGACGGTGACGGGGACATGTGCCTGGATCATGACATTTGAGACAACAGCAGAAACTTCACCCTCGGCCGTCCAGAGGAGGAGAAAAGCAAGAAAGGAAGAGAGGGGAGAATGGAGGAAGAAAAGATGGGAAGTGGAATGAGAGAAGGAGAGAGAGGATGATGATGAAGAAGGGGGAGACTGAAATGAAGGAAAGGATATATATATATATATATATATATATATATATATATATATATATATATATATATATATATATATATATATATATATTGTGACGGTGTTCCCCCCTTATATTTCTCCCACGCCTGCTGTAAGAGTCATGTCCACTTTACCCGAGCGTTCTCTACGTCGCAGGCATCAGTTTGATATATGTGGGAGAGTGTAGTGTTCTCGAGGTGGCGAGAAATTTGTAAAAGAAGAGTATTTTGGGCTGTGGTATAGGCCCTTTAGGAAGCCAATATGGCGCTGGCTCCTCTGTTTTGCCTCCAAAACTGTGTGACGTCAGTGACACCAGATTGGTCGCCGACAGCGACGTGGCACAGGGAGCCAATGAAAACCTCCCATGGCGAATATGACGTCACGAAGGAAGGGGGGTCCGGTCAGTGCGCGACTCTGGCGCCATCAGTCTAAGACAGCACGTCAAGGAGGTCAGACGTGCGCTGGGGGGTCCTGTCAGTTGGACAGTTTACCCCGTCTCCGGAGGATTTACGCATCACCCGTGGTCTGCCAACACCTGTGGGGTCTTCCTTCGTTCATGTG